CACCTAACTTTGTGTTATCAGCAAAAATTGGATATATATCTTTTTATGCTATTATCCAAGCCATTAATAAATAAATATGAATAAGTGAGGCCCTAACACGGATCACTGTGGGACATCATTGGTCACATCTGCCAATTTGAGTACCTACCCGTTATCCATACATTCTGTCACCTGCCACTCAACCAACTTCCCAGCCATGTCAGTAATAACATAGAAGGCAAGATTCCTTGAGTGACGTAGCAATGGTACAAGGCAAAAGGAGGCTGCAATTGAGGTAAGTGGAACTGAAATACCAACAAGAAAACTGTTACCATGACCTAAATTAAAAGCACAATATTGTAGTTGCTGCAGATCTGAAATGGATGCCAAGTGCTGGAAACGTTCAGCAATTCTAGCAGCATCTGTGAGGAGAGAAAGAGTTAACATTTCAAATCAAATGACTTCTTCAGAGCTCAATTTCCTGAAGAGCCATAATCAACTGAAAATTCAACTCTTGTTTCTCTCTACAGATACTCAGCAGGTTTGGAAGCATTTGTATTTCCAGGACTTTGTTTATGTTATCGCAATCTGTTGTTTGAGAAAATGGGAGCAGTAGTTATTATCTGAAATGTTTAACTCGATGGATTTTGAAGGCTGAAAAGTGCTTAATCAAAAGCTGAGGTGATGTTTCTTAAGTTTAGTGCTATTGGTCGCTGTGGATGGAAAAATAAAATGGTACACCACCGAAATTTTGTGACCATGCATACTGTTTTGCAGTCATTCAACCTACTTAGTCTCCCAAAATGAGAGACACCGTATTATGAGCAGAGTACAATATCGTAAACAGAATGAAGTACAAATAAATTACTGTTTGATTGTGAAGTGGTATTTGGGACCTTGAATAGCTGAAGGGATGAAGTGAAAAGGCATGGGACTGAGTAAGACAGGTGAATTAAGAATGGGCCAGAGTATTGTGGAGGGAACAATCTCACATTTTGAATGGTGTGAAGGGGTGGGAAAACTGTATTTAACGATAGCATTGTGCTGCGAGTGGCTGAGGTGTTGAATGTTATCCATGATCTGATGAAGGCAAAGGTAGGGGAAATCTCTCCTATTTGTGATAAGGAAGGGTAGGATATAAGTACTGAGAAATGGAATAGATTTTGTCAAGATAGAAGGGAACTTATCGGAAGTACTTTTACGGCAAGTGCCATAGTTAAAATGGATTGGATAGAAATATTGGATAACTGGAACAGTCTTTGAAGAAGATAGTGTGGGAGTAGGTGTAATTGTGGTAAGAATGGGTGTAAGTGAGTTTATCAGATTGATTAACAATCTCTCCTTAGAACTAAAGACAGAAAAGAATCTGACGTAAACCATATGAAGACGAGAAGGATAAACATTGGAAGTAAAGCTGATACTTTTAGTTCAGGGTGAGAGCAGGAAGCAGAAAGCATCAAGGTAGTGGAGAAAAAGGTGAAGCGGGGGAGCTGCGAAGAACTGGAATGTTGAGGATTATTAACTGTGAACCTTCAATATTCTGGCTGAAGTTTTCTTGATTTCCAAATGGTCCTATTTTCTGATGGTGAAACTACAATCCACACCATGCTCCTACAAAGCCTCAATTATGTGCAGGGATGAGAAATTTACATTCTGTTGGGATTTTGGAATTCCTCCATTCTAAATCTGTTTCTGACATCCACCTTCTCCAAAGTCCAAACATGGCTGAAAATTAAAAACGCAACTGCTGGTGAGAGTGGGAAAACGTTAGAGTTGTGATTGGAAGACGATACGAAAGAGACAGAATCTGGATGAACACAGCAGGCCAAGCAGCATCAGCAGAGCAGGAAAGCTGACGTTTTGGGTCTGGACCCTTCTTCAGAAAAAATCTGAAGAAATTTTTTCTGAAGAAGGGTCCAGAACTGAAACGTCAGCTTTCCTGCTCCTCTGCTGCTTGGCCTGCTGTATTCATCCAGCTTTACACCTTGTTATCTCAGATTCTCCAGCATCGGCAGTTCCTGCTATCTCAGAATCTGAATATCTGCTTCTCCGCTCATGGTTTGTGTCTACTACACTTGCTGTTTCATTTTGACTAGTTATGGGTTCCCTCCTTGCTGCATCCAGAGATGGATTCCGTATGGATTGTAATACAATATTGTACAAGTCCTTCCTGTACTCAAGCGACCTCTACCACGAAGCACGCACATTGTAGGCAAACACCTTCGGTTCACTTCAATAAGGACCTCATGTTAAGCACATTGCTGTGTTGCACTCTTGAAACAGATTTTTTGGTTAAAGGAGCGGTGAAGGCAGAAGGGTGGGAAACTTAGATTAGAGAGTGAGGAACAGTTATTCTAGCCAGTCCCATTGCTACAGACTCATCAGTCGCTTTCAAAACTGTGGCTTGATACCCATGTTCACAAAAGCTTACTTGAGTCTAATTGGATTTGCTTAATTTGTTTCTGTTCTTTTAAATTTGTCTGTTTTGAAAGGTCATGGGTTTAAATAAATCATGCGCAGTAATGGGTGTTTGGTGATAACTTGGATGGTCCCACAGTTTAACATTTGAGGCTTGGCTGGATTTGGGATGTAATGGCATTCTCTGGTTTCAAGGCAAAGACATGATTTTAAAGAACAAAAACTAACGTGGAAATCTTTTTTGTTCCTTGATTGATTACTCTGTGGATAATTTCTATTTAAAATAATATTCAGACTTGAGTTGGAATGTAATTTACAATCTGGTTGCTAAGTAAAATCTGAGATTTTTAAAAATGTATTAATTCATTCACGTGTTGTGGGTGTCGCTGGCTAGGCCATTTTTCCTGCTGAAGCATTTACCTTGCAGAAGGTGTTGGTTAGCTGCTGGCTTGAACTGCTGCAGTCCATGTGGTGTTTGGGCATTCATAGTACTGTTAAGAAGGGAGTTGCAAGATTTTGACCAGGTAACGGTGAAGGAATGGCAATCGGGATGGTGTGTGACTTAGAGGGGAATTTGGAGATGATCGAGTTGCCATAAACCTGTTCTTCTTGTCCCTCTAGGAGGCAGAAGTCCTGAGTGTGGAGGGTGCTGTTGAAGGAGCCTTTGTGGGTTGCTGCAGTGTATTTTGTAGATGGTATGCACTGTTGCCATTGTGAATCATGGAGGCATAGAGTCATAGAGATATACAGCATGGAAATAGACCCTTCAGTCCAATTCATTCATGCCAACCAGAGATTCTGTATTAATCTCGTCCCATTTGCCAGCATTTGGCCCATATTCTTCTAAACCCTTCCTATTCATAATCCCATCCAGATGCCTTTTTAAATATAGTAACCGTACTGGCCTCCACCACTTCCTCTCGCAGCTCATTCCATACACGCACCACCCTCTGTGTGAAAAAGTTGCCCCTTAGGTCCCTTTTATATCTTTTCCCTCTCACCTTAAACCTATGCCCTTTTTAGCTTTGGACTCCCCCACCTGGGGGAAAAGATCTTGCCTATTTACCCTATCCATGTCCTTCATGATTTTATAAACCTCTATAATGTCACTCTGATGCTCCAGGGAAAAGAACCCCAGTCTATTCGGCCTCTCCCTAGAGCTCCAACCTGCCAACCCTGGCAACATTCTTGCGAATCTTTTTGAACCCTTTCTAGTTTCACAACATCCTTCCTATAGGATGGAGACCAGAATTGCATGCATTACTCCAAAGTGGTCAAACCAACGTCCTGTATAGCCACAATACTGTATGACTTCCCAGAGGTGGATGGGTGCCAGTCAAGCAGATTGCATTGTCCTAGAGGTGTTGAGCTGCTTGAGTGCCTGGTGCTACACTCATCCAGGCAATTGGGCAATATTACATCACACTCCTAATTTGTTCCTTTGTAGATGATGGACATATTTTGGGGAGACAGGAGGTGAGTTACGTGCCACAGAATTCCCAGCCTCTGACTGCTCCTACAACCACAGTATTTATATAGCTGGTCCAGTTTTGTTTCTTCAATGATAACCCCAAGTATGTTGACAATGGGGAAGTCAGTGATGACAATGCATTGAATGTACAGAAGGTATGATTGGATTGGAAGAGATGGTCATTGCATGATAAGTGTATATGTTACTAGTCACTTATGAACCCAAGCCTGAATGTTGACCAAGCCTCAGTCTGTAGACATGGTCTGTTTTTAGTATCTGAGTCATCATGAATGTTGCCAAATATTGTGATTTTTCAGCAAATATCGTCTTCTGACCTTATGTTGAAGGGAGTGTCAGTGATGAAGCAGCTTAGGACGATTGAATGTGGGACACAATCCTGAGGAACTCCTGCAGTGATGCCCTGGGACTGAGATGATTGACTTCTGACATTTCCAAACATCCTCCTTTATGCTTGATAGGAGTTGAAACTGTGAATTCTTCTCAAATTCTCATCATTCTTGCTAAAATTCCTTGATCTCATTCTCCATCAAATGCTGACTTGGTGTCCAGGGCCATCACTCTTACCTCGTCTCTAGAGTTCAGCTCTAATTGACCTTACTTGGACCAAGGCTGTAATGAGGTCAAGAGCAGGTGGAATCCAAACTGCATATCAGTGTGCAAATTATTGTAAGTGCTGCTGGATAGCTGTCAATAACCCCTTCCTTCTTTGTTGATGGCTGAGAGTTGAATGATGCGACAGTAGTTGGCTGAGTTGGATGTGTTCTTTTTGTGGAGACAATATACCTAAGCAATTTTCCACATTGCTGGATAAATGCCAATATTGTAACTGTACTGGACCAACTTAACTAGAGGCAGGGCTAATTCTGTCGGAATCAAATGTTACCTTCTGAATAAATTGTAGAATTAAGAATTTGCACTGATGTTAGCATGCTATTCGTTAATATGTTATTGAGAGGCACTTACAGCATAATCAATGATGATTGATGTCTGTGTGAGTTTATTTTGCTTCTTAAGAGAAGTATTGTTAATCATCTTCCCCTAATCTGAATGGTTTCCAATTATACTGGGAAATTAGAACTGATTTTATTTTTCGCTATTTTTCTGCCAATAGGGTGAATCTGTGAAATATTTTCTGGATAATCTTGACCAGATTGGACAATTGGTGAGTCTAATTCCTGTTTTTACTTAAACAACCAAAGCATAGGGAGTTCACCCTTGCTAACTTGAAAGTTGTGATCACCGTGGTTATATGCTGAACTAACTTCTGCATTATGTGGAAGATAATGTGGGCAAAAATCAAGTTGAAACTATGTTTTGGAATTTCTCCCATTTGATTGATAGGTTAGCTGAATGAGTTTTTGTTTATTTCAGTTAATTGCGTTCCTCTCCTTGCTGCCTACCACTTGCATGTAGAGAATTACTTGAATGTGGCAATTTACCACATTTCTAAAGTGCCTCAAGATCAATAAACAATGAACCCGGATTGCAATGATGTTCTTTTTCAAAAGAACATATCAGCCAATTTGTTTCGAGGAAAGTCTGAGAACACTCAAAAATTATCTCAGTAACAAAATGCTATAATTGGTGTTCTTGTCTATTAGGATGATGTAATCAAGTCAAAGTTCTTGAAACCGCAAAACAAATTTTTAGAAAAAGGGTAGTTGGAAATAATGCTAAATTGGCAGTTTTCATTGTTGAAATTTGCAATTCTTTGTCTGCCTTTCTCCAGAAAATGATCTCCTGCAAGTGTAGCTCTAGAGCTTTGGGCAAGGATTGGATTCCACTGAAATCACATTGAAACAGAGTGAGAATGTGTACTGGGAGGATTTGACGGGCCGATGGAGCAATGTCACTATCAAACATTGCATTCAGGATTCATTTCATGCTGATTGAATTGGATTACCTGATTATTGACGGATGTTGAAATTAAATGCCTGTATTGGCAACTGTATGGGTTGGCATTTGTTTCTAATTTATGTATGAGCTATGATACAACCTAATATATTTCATTTAGATGTATGTGAAAGTATAAGTTAAAGCACTTGTGCGATTCCTAGATAACAAATTTGGCTATTGCAAATGACCTGAGTTACATTGGGAGTGGTGAAATGCTCATCATCTCCAAAAATATATAATGATGAAGTTTACAAAGTAAGTTTCCCAGATGCAATTTGTGGTTAAACTGACCCAGGGTTCTATCAAGAAACCCTCCCTGTGGCTGTTTCAAACTGCTGACCATTATTTTAAGTGACAAATTGAAATGCAGAAAATTTGCATAAACTCATTTGTGCCATTCCTGCTCGTCATTTTGCATGTAGTGAGAAGCTGATGCTCCTGGAAATGCCCATTGATGGCAAGTGACAGTTGTAACTAAATGCAGCTTCTGCCTTATTAGCTTAAATGTCAAATCATTCTGCCAATTAACGGACAACCATAAAGACACAAACCTGCTTCTTTCAGGAGATTCTCATCATCCAGTCTCTGCCTTTAGATGATGCAAGCAATTGGTGATTAGTTTTGGTCATGGTGCCATCCTGTTGTCGAGGAAGGAGTTGAAGAGCAAGAGGGAGGAGACTGTCTGTCTTTCGTTATTAAATCAAAATCTCCAATTTCATAGGAATTATTTGCTCAGTTTCTCATTGGAATGAATTTGTTCACGAAGTAGCTTGCAGCACAAATAAGCTGTCCCATATACAGTGACATTAGGCTATTTGGCCCATTCAGCATGAAGATATTTATAATGCTGAAGATTAGAGTATTTTTGTTCCATCTTTATCCTGTCTTTCCTTGTGCCTATTGAACTTTTCTAATCAGTTGTTTACTGCATTACTGTCTGATTTGAAGGAGCTCAGATTGTCTGACCGTGATCACCATCTGTTTCTCAAGGTGATCGTTGAAGCTGGAAGTGTTTTGAATTTTCAAATCTCCATGCCAGATTTTTTTTTTCCTTTAGTCTAGCTTTGTGCTGCAATATTTTCATTTATTGCAGTGTTCCTACAACTGATGAATATGGAGAAATTGTCAATAGAGAAATACAACTGCTCTTCTTGCCACCCTCACCACCATTGCTTCCAAAGATCTTCCATTCTACAGTGTTTCTATTGCCTCTTATAGTTTATAATTTTATCATGTGGAGTATTGTTCCACAGTTGATTTTGGAAGTATTCAGAAATGCAGTCCAAGCTCTACTGTTTGCAGTACATCATAAGTCCAAGCTAGGGAGTTCTCAGTCTTGAGTGATTTGGAAATCTCTACTACGTCTGATGGAAATTTATTGATTTGTCGTCTTAAAAATTTGCAGCTTTTTCAAATAGTCTAATTAATTGAGCTGTAAATTCAGTCATTGTCTTCAGTCTATATAATCAGATATTCATGTTACCAAAATACAATTTATCATTGATTTTTACCCATCTTTGAGAACGCAGTACGAATTTTGAATGTGGGGCATTTGCAACTAATTTGCAGCATTGGAACAGCCAGTTGAGACGACAAACTCAACACAGACTGAAATCAATTTGTAATCATCTTAATCTCTCTATAGTAATGAAGCCAATCAAAGCTATTCTCCATCAGTCTGTAGTTATTAATGTTTAATACTGAGGGAGAGGGAAATTTAAGAATATTGTGCTCAAATAAAAAAAAAGTTACTACATTTTCAACTAAACACATGGCAATGATGTCAAGGCAATAACCTCATTGGATTCAGAACATTCAAAGCACTCCAGCATTTCATCGCTTTGGTCAGTTGATTGTTTTGCAAAACAATCTTCAAGAAACACAAGATTTCAGTTAACCAACTTGAGATTACTAAATTTTCTTTCATCTATGTTACCATTCACAAATTTTGCATTTTTAAGTAGTTCAAAATTATTCATAATTTGAGGAATAGCAGTCAAATTTCATTGAAGAAGAATATTTTGAATGTTTTTAAGATTTTTGCTAATCAAATTAAATTTGTGCTGTTATTTAGTGAATCTTTCAACGGATCCATTTTTCCCAAATGGTAGGGGGGAGAAAAGTGTCCTTCAGAAATCAAATACATCTGCCCAGCAATTCCCTTACTTTCACTTCTCCCCGCCTTCCAAAAGCAGCAACATGTTCAATTTCATGTCTGGCTGGTATCCAGTCCTTGCTAGATTTCTGAACCTGCTGTGACTATGGGATGTGAAATTAACATCTTTAAACCATTGTTCTGCTGGTCCAGTTTGAATATATTGAGGCTTCTTTATTGCTGGCAGGATGGATAGCAAAAGAAAATTTGTCATACTGCCAATGTGCCTAGTTATGCAAAATTTTTAATTAATTTCTTTATTTCAGAGTTACCTTCCCAGCAGGCATGATGTCCTACTTGCGAGAAAAGCCACCAAAGGAATTGTGGAGCACGATTTTGTCATAAAAGGAATTCCTTTCAAAATGGTAGATGTGGGTGGTCAACGGTCACAGAGGCAGAAATGGTTTCAATGCTTCGATGGCATTACCTCCATTCTATTCATGGTTTCCTCCAGTGAATATGACCAGGTCCTAATGGAAGACCGGCGAACAAGTCGTTTGGTAGAATCAATGAATATCTTCGAGACAATTGTAAACAACAAATTGTTTTCTTCTGTCTCCATCATTTTGTTTCTCAACAAAATGGACTTGCTTGTGGGTAAGGTGAAAACAGTCAGTATTAAAAAATATTTCCCAAATTTTGAGTGGGACCCTCACAATCTAGACGATGTACAAAAATACTTGGTTCAGTGCTTTAACAACAAGCGACGAGATCGCACCAAACCACTGTTCCACCACTTTACAACAGCCATTGACACGGAAAACATTCGATTTGTATTCCACGCAGTGAAAGACACTATTCTGCAAGAAAATTTGAAAGATGTAATGTTGCAGTGAAGGGATCAGCATTTGACTTTGTGTTGCTCTTTGGTATTCCCTCTGCCATCAGCACCGTTTCCAAGAACTCAGTGGCTGACCGTTGTGGATGTAATAGGCATCTCTGACTACATGAAAGCTTGATGCTTGACAGCATCTTATTGGAAGTGCTTATAAGTGTCCTTTTTCACTTCAAGTGCTCCAACATCAGAAGCATTGTGAATAATGATTTTAGACATTTGTTGCACTAAGGGCTGTTTTCTGATTGTGTTGGATGATAAAATTGGGTAACTGAACAATGTATTCCAATCGATTAAGTTCCTTGAACAAAAATAGCATGCAATTCAAGAGGTGCTTGCATGGAACTCTGCTTCAATTAAAATTTCAGGGAAAGTTTATTATCCAAGCTATTCAATGGATTCTAGCCCTCCTCCGCATTCAGCTATTTACTACTGCCTAATGCAAATTGGATCTGAAGTCCAAAATAACTCCTA